GCAGGAGTGGGAACCGGCCCCTGGGAACCCAGGTCCTCTTGCCCTGGGACCAGAGACCCTGATGTCCCTGTGTCCTCCTGGTCCAGGCTGGAGTCCGGGATGCAGAACATGAGCATCCACACGAAGACCACCAGTGGCTACTCCGGTGAGTGCCCAGAGGGCAGGGTCTGCATCTCTCTTGGGGGGCGGGTTCCCCAATGGGTGGTGGTGGTAGAGGGGGGGCACCTGCTCAGTTGCTTGTCCAATGACCTGGCTCAGGTCCTTGGCAGTTGAGGAGGGGGCGAGGAGCAGAATCCGTTTTCTCTGGGGAATCGTGGTGCGAGGGGAGACAGACCCCGGACCAAACACTGCAGTTAGCTATACCAAGAAACAGGCTAAATGGGGCTACCCTGTCCCAGCACAGCGCTGAGGGCTTTGCACGTTTATCTTGCTTATTGTTTATGTAAACCTGTCAGTTCTCCTGTTTGACGGAGGAGGAAGCTGAGGTCTGGCTAAACGACTTGCCCAAGGTCCCATAGCTGATACCCAAACCCTTTCCTTCTGGATTCCCTTGACATTTCCAGGGAGCAGTGAAGCCCCCCAGACCTGGGCTAGAGTCCCCCTCCCTGGGGGTGGTGTGGGGAGTGAGCTGAGAGACGAGGCTGTGGGGCCTAGGCCTGGGAGGAGCCCTGTGCTCATGTGGCGACCTCTGTTCCCGATCAGGTGGGCTGACCTCCAGCTACGGGGGCCTCACGAGCCCTGGCCTCACCTATGGCCTGAGCTCCCTGCAGTCCAGCCTCAGCCCAGGCGGGGGCTCCAGCTCCTTCTCCCGCTCCAGCTCCACCAAGGCCGTGGTGGTGAAGAAGATCGAGACGCGGGACGGGAAGCTGGTGTCCGAGTCTTCCGATGTCCTGTCCAAGTGAATGCCTCTGTGACCCTTCACAGCCTGTCCCCGCCCCTGCCTGCCCAGAGCTGTGCAGGGCCACCAAGGGAACGGGAGACCGGAGGATTGGCCCAGGCCTCAGCCCACCCTGTGGGAATCAACTACTTAGCGGGGAGTACCCCCTTTACCCATGACCCCCCAATGAAAGCCAATGGTCTTTTGTAAAATAAAACCTGGCAACTTACGTACACATATACTCGATACGAATTGATGTCTGGATTGTTATAAGAGCTCCAAGACACAGCAATGAAATGATCTTTAAATAAAAAGATCAAGCCTGAGCCAGCCCATGGTGCTGTCAGTCCAACCCTGTGTCCATGGGAACGGGGAGAGAGGGGCCAGGAGGGGGCTCTCTCAGTGGTTCTTGTTGGTACTTTGGTCATTGCCATAAATCCACCCCTGCTGCAGCAGTCCCTCGCCTGTGCCCGGTGCTTCCCATCCACTGCACAGTGTGCTTGCACACGACCCTTACTGTGCTTGGCACAGCAGACAGGCGGGCAGAAGGGAGCCTAGTTGGTACAAGGGGTCTTCATGAAGTTTTGTGGAACAATTCCACCCCCCACCCCACCCCCACACAAACGTTTTGAACATCAGGGCTACCTGCAGGCTCAGAGAGCCCACACCGTCAGATCCACTGGAAATGGGCAGAGTTGGGAATCAAAACCTACACTTGTCCTTCTCTTCAGCCGGACACACGACTTCCCTGATGGTCAGAAATGCCCTCCTTCCTCTCTAGTCAGGGAGCAAGGAGCCCTGGCTTTCCCCTCATCCAGCGGTCCCCAGTCCACTCTGTATCGGACTCCAGACATCAAAACGGCCCAGGACTTGGTCTTGATGAGCGGGCTTTCCTCCACCCGGCTCACAGTCACACCTGCCCTCCTTCCCTCTTCGCCGCCGCCTTTTTTGCCCCCTCACCTCTGTGTGTAGAGGGTGTGCTTGTGGTTGAAGGTGTGCTTAAGGCGGTGAAGTGGGGTGGGGACATTTCACGAGGCGTGTGGACAAAGGGTTTGCCTGTCGGTGTTGAAACACAAGCTCCGTGGGGGAGTGCAGGGTTAGGGCACCCCCACCCCCACCGGGTATCCCCAACACTTCCGTTTCATGGCCACCCCCCACCCCCCTGAGGTCCAAGCAGACGCGCCGTCTGATAGCACTAAGCGTGGGCAAGCCCCTGGGCATGACTTCAGATGAGGCACATTCACCAAGGGAGAACGGTCCAGAGAACATGCTGTGGGTGGTGGAGCCTGGTACAGGGAGCACACGTGTGGCTCCGCTGGGGACTCCACAGCTGGCTCTGGCCAGGCCTCTCCTCCCCAACCCCTCTCACCCAGCCCTGGGAAAGGGCCAGGCTCTGGACACAGTGACAGTAAAGAACTAACAGCAGCATGATCGGGAGCCCCGGCTTCCCGCCTATTTTGGTGGTGGCCACAGTAAGAGCAAGAAGCCCAGGTGGCGCAGAGGTGAAATTACTCGGTTGCTAGTGGAGAGGTTGGTGGTCCAACTCAGCCGCCCTGCCTTGGAAGAAAGGCGTGGCAGTGTGCTGCCATGAAGCCTTGGGCACGCTTCCCCGTGAAGGTTGCTAGAGTCAGGGTCTCTCTGTCTCCTGGCAGTGGTGTGTTTGTGTGTATCTTAGCGGGCGGGAGGGTTTCACTGTAAAAAATTCATTTTTATCACGCTCCATAAAGCAAGACCTGCCTTTGGCCCTTGGCTCAGGGGTGACCGGCCTTTTCTCCAGAAACCGGGAGGGTAGTGTCAGAGCGCAGCGCAGGGGCAGCAGCTGGTGAAGGGAACTTCACCTCCTGGGCCCCCAAGTCAATATTTTCAGTGGCGCCCCACCCGGTCCTCTCTGCAGCCTGCCACCTAATCAGGTCCGCACCCAGGCAGTGGGTGTGCTGGGAACAGTTGAGAGCCCCACCTGGAAGGAGTCTCCACACCCTGGATGTTAGCTGGGGGCAGGGAGGCTTCCCTTTCCTGCCATTCTCTTCCTCTTTCCCCAAATCTCTTCCCCTTTCATTTCCTTCTTTCCACATCCGTACGCTTCCAACCATGACCCAAGAACTCTTGGGTCGGTAGGCTGCTGAGTGAAAGGTTGGTGGTCTGAGTTTACCCCTCGGCACCCCGGAAGAAAGGGCTGGCGATGGATTTCTGAATCATCAGGCGTTGAAGCTCCCGCGGAGCACAGCTCCCCGCTGGTCCCCCATGGGGTTGGCATGAGCTACAGGTGACTACATGGCTAACTGGTGAGCTGGGTCCTCAACATAGGTGACGGGCCCCCATTTCCCTCAAGAACCAAACCCAAGCCCCAAACCCAACCCCACAGCCGCCAAGTGGATCCCCATTCATAGCAACGCGATAGGGCAGAGTAGAACTGGCCCATAGGGTTTCCAAAGCTGGAGTGCTTTCTGGACGAAGAGGCCCAGGTTCTCCTGAGGAGCTGCGGGTAGGGTTCAGCTGCAGGGCTTGGGGTTAGTGGTCAAGCTGCCAAGCCCGGCCTTACCACGGGTCCTTCAGACAAAGCCCAGAGCTCGGATGTACTTTTCCAGCAGGGCTGGAAGCCACGATTTCGAAGGGTAGGCTTTGTGATTCATCAGGTCTCAATCCTCCTCTAATGCTGGGAGGCAGGTTTGAAAATCCTTGTTTTATGGCTGTCGAATTTATGTGAGGTGAGATAGTGAGTGACAGAACTGGTGCCCTCACTCTTGGGTCAGTTCTTTTGACGATTCTAGATGTCTATCAAAGGCTGCCTCGGTGGCACCAAGGATTAAGTGCTAAATTACTAGCTGAACGGTCGAACCATTCGAACCAACCCATGGATGTATCAGAAGACAGGTCTGGTGATCTCCTTTTCAAAGGTCCCCAGACAAACTCACTTCCATGAAGACATTGATTCCAACACCACAGGACCAGGTAGAACTGCCCCTGTAGGTTTCTGAGGAGGCAACGCTTCATGGCAGTAGAAAGCCTCATCTTTCTCTCATGGAGTGGCTAGTGGTTTTGAACTGCTGACCTTGAGTTGATCAGCCCAATGCCTAAGCACTAGGCCACCAGGGCTCCTTGAAAACCCTGTGGAGCCGTTCCACTCTGCGCACACCAGTCACCGTGGATCAGAATGAACTCAAGGGCAACTCACGTGGCTTTCTGCCACACATCACTAAAAGTTTCAAGGTTTATAATTCACAAGTCCAAGAAGGCCTCCTTACCCAACCGTTTCCCTCCCGGACAACTAACATCACTAGTTTTTTTTGGAGATTCCTTCCAGATATAGCTCATCTGTATATAATAATTTTAGGCACATACATGCTTGTCTGTATATTTACACTTAGTTCCCACCAAGTGATTTGACATTCCCTTGACATCTGCTCCCTCCAGATCAGTATGGAATGGTTATTTTTCACAGCTGCATAATATTCCACTCAGGATGTGCCATTGTCTACGTAAACAGTCCTCTTTTGGTTTGCCTCTTCCATCGTGTGCAGTGATCTTCACATTGCAATGAATAATCACCTTGGGTACATGTCACAACACACAGGGCGAGAACACCTGAATGATTCTCAGCGGAATTGCTGTCAAGTGATGCACATGAATAGTTTTGATAGAACGTATACATGGTGGGGGTGGGGACCAACTTGATTTCTCATGGGACCGAATTCTAAATGTTTTGAAATTCTACATATGGAGAAGACCCATTTTTAACCACTCTGGATGGCTACTCTTCCCCACCTCTCTCATTCCCAGGGGCCCAGTGAAGAATCTCCATGCGTTTGTGAAGCACTCTTCAGACACTGGGGTGCTGAGGCTTTGCGGTGCCTGCCCAAGGTGAACGGAGGTCTATGAGGGTCCCTGCAGCAGGGGGTTCTCAAAGCATACTGAGGATGAGCATTCGATGGGCTAGAGAGGAGAGGGGTCGGGAGGGGGAAGGCCAATTGAGGGGCAGCACCTTGTGAGCAAGGGGAGGGAGAGACGGGGACAGCATGGTTGGTTGCCTCCCCTGTCCCAGGCTACCATACTGTGGTGGGTGCCAATTGCTTTGTCTACCATCCCATTCCCCTCCTGGTTTCAGAACACACTCATTGTCCCCCGCCTTTCAGTCGTGTCCCCCTTTCTTTCTGGCACTATTCTCCAGTGACAGCCGTTGATTCTGGTGGGCCTGCTGGCCACAGACCCTCTCCTCTGGGCCCACTAAGGTGTGCAGGAGCCAACCTTGGCCAACATCCGTACAAAGTGCTCCGATGCTAAGGATACAGCTTGATGAATATTACCTATGTTCACATCCGCGACATAGAGCATTTCCTAAACCCCAGAGGCACCCCTTGGGCCCTTGCTAGAGTGCATTTAAAAAAATACAAATCAAAGTGACTTACTTCCCTTTAAGGTATACCCCCAGAATGAAGTCCTGCCCTTTTCTGGCCCCACTCACCTCTCAGGACCCACTCACCCTGGCCACTCCATCCTAGGCTATCTCTCTGACCCAGAAGTACTGCTTTTCAGCACCTGGCCCACACCACGTTTCCTTCTGCGGAGGGCTGTGGCACATGCGATGCCCTCAGTGTGGCACGCCCTGCCTTTGCTACAAGCACCTGGCAGCATCCTAGCTGCTCTTCAGCTTCCTAAAGCACATGTAGACATGTGGTAGCTACTCATCCATCTGCAGCGGTGTTTTAGTAAGCTAGATTGTAAGAGCAGGCACTGCATTACATCTTCCTGGTTCTCCACAGATTCTCCAGTGCCTCGCAGAATGCCGGCCACATGACAGGCGATCAGCACAAAATTATGAAAGAAAAGAATGGATGGATCATTTCCATAACATGATGGCCACCTGTTTATTTTCCTTCATCGTCTGCCTTTCAAGTTCTCTTAAATCCCTTCCCTTTGGGGCAATAGATCAACCTGTTCAGGCTCATTTCAGAAACAGCTGGTGTATCCATCTTTTAAAGAGTCTCTTTGCTAAGTGGCCTTAGTGCGCTGCAAGACTACACCCAACCGCAGGTCAGCCACATCCTGACCTTCTTTACAAACTATTTAGGAATGGGTAGAAAGAACTGGGTTAGGGAAGAGCTTGACTTTAATGCCACGCCGTGTGTGTCTGGTGCCTGAAGGTGAGGAGGAGGCAGGGGGGGACTACAAAGACATCCAAGACTTCAAACTGCTTCCAGTTTTCCCGGAAGAATGATTGACATTCCAGAAATATCAACTCCAT